GTCAGAATCAAATTCAAGCTAACGAGTCAATAAAACTCATGTCTGCGGCTAAACGTAAAATTAGAGAAGCCATAGAAATAAGCTAAATAGGAAATACATTGAATGTAAGGAATACTGGCAAGAAGATTAGTAAAAATTACTTGTGCTTAATTAATAGACTGAAGGGTTGAGAGGGAGTTGAGCCGCCTGCAAAAAGGAGGCGACGCAATTAGTCTTTTCTTGTCTTGGTTCTAATGATATTCACTTCTCTGTACTTTGAGCTCACTTTTTCTCTAACTGCAGGTTTCTTGCATAAGCGAACACAAAGAGGCACATACGCATACAGAGACAGACGTACTCACAGGCTTCGAGGTTGACTAATGACCTTAACCAACCAAATCACTTTATACTTGATCAAAAAGGCCAGATGTAGAGTATATATACCGCTTTTTAAGGATTTGCCGGTGAGTCGTTAGCTTGAATTTGGTTGTGATGATCATACCTTGCCTAATGATGTTCGTCATACGACGGACGAAAGTTTAGCATCTTTTCATCGGAAACGAAGAGGATTACCTCGAAAACAGCATCACCATGAATGTTCTAGTAAAGCCAATCGACAGCTGATAAAGAGAAATCCGCCGTCGTCTTCTGGTGGAATCGACCTTCCAATCTCTTCATCAAACGCTTTCACTTGAAATGGAAGTAATTTCAACAATTATGAAATAAGAGATTCATGGAAACCCAACTTTTCTAAGCATATACATAGTATTTTCTGCCCAATGGTCATGCTATCACTACTATTTATGTAAAGAACTATCTCTGGCTGCTGGATAGCATGAGAGATAGAGAGATAGAAGAATAGAGAGGATAGACAAAGCTGCTGAATATGAGAAGACTTGACCAATCTGGAATCTAGTTTGAGATCCATAATTTTCAACGGACTCGTGAATATTGCATGAACATAGCGTACATACATCTACGAGCTTAACACAAGCCTAAGTATTATATAATCATACGTTTCTTTATGTACATAAAGAAAAGCGGTGACTACATCCGCTCCCTTTCCTGCATCAACTTCACTCGTCCACATGTATGTAGGTCAAGCAGATAGTAGTCAACCAAGTCACGGTCTGTCTCATTAAGATTGCAAAGTTGGGCTTAAGAGGTAAGTAGAATTTCAGCCGGCCACCTTCGTTGGTCTAGTGCTTTTTGGTAATTGTTCTCAGACAATGGTTTTGGGCTGTGACAATTTACGTTATTTTACGGATGAAATCTCAGCACGAATGGATCGGGTTCGCAGGACGGTGAGCCGAAGTCCTTTTCACACATTCAAAAGTCACAAGTCCAAGGCAACCCTCCCTCGGTATCCGTTTCGGCTAATTTGAGAATCTCTTCCATTTACCTTTATCAACGAAATGAAAGCCATGTCATCATCACTCTAGATCTTATTCTGCTTAGTTTATGAATTAACTTTTTTTAGTTCCCTTTTATATCCGACGTCCATATATGAATGTGGTGTCCCATAAAATTTTTCTGAAATGAATTCCTTTCTCACAGCTGTTATGTAATCTATTTGGGCTCGTAAGACTGCTCTCTTACCATTACTTTTTATCTAGCATGACATAGGACTGCGATGGCTTTGTCTCCGCAAGTTCTCCTTCCATCGCGCTTGCCTACCTGGAGCTGTCCCATTCACCGATTCACATCACATTTTGTCACTGAGCAGCTCCAACCACCAATTGGCCTGGCTTCGGGATGGTCTACTCGTCGTCTGCTTACCCTCTGAAATGCATGTTTACAGCCAATGGCCTCATGAAAATGCCATATGCTGCGATACAGTACCGTCTATTTTGCCCGGATCTGCCGTCCCTCGGACTATGAAATCTGCAGGCTGCAGCGAGTACACATCATCTGATGCTAACCCTCGTACTTACCAGCACTTTCAGTGCAGCCAACAGCTCCAGTTGCCAAGCGTTCATTCCAAAAGCCAACACTTTACTCCTCATTCTAACCTAGGTATCTGTGCCTCATATACTTTTACATACTTAACAATATAATATTTTTAACATAAGTAAACTTTCTTATAATTTATCTCATTGTATTTATCATCATCCGTTTTATCCCAAGTGGCCTGCGAAGTCCCTGGCGCCAACTTAACTGTGGCTCGATTGACTAAGACCTACTCAGCTTATCGGCTTACATCCTCCTCATCCACGGCAAATCGGCTTGCCTCATTGGCTGCATTTTCTCAGCCAGTAGAACCCAATATATTCGCTGCTTCAAAGCCCATGGATGGTCATGATAAATCTTTTGCGCCCGATGCAAGTTTCGGATTGCTGCAAAACATTGGACTTTTTGAGTCAGTTCACGTAAGTCCTTCATTTTTGCACATTCTCATGTCTCTCGTCGCCTGATCGCCTACTTTTGCGTTCATGTGTAGGTTGCCAATCCGGTGCTGCCACAATTCCATCCTCGCCAACTTCTCGAATGGCTCAACTTGGGCCATCTGCGCCGCGTTCAGGCCTGTCTGGTGCACTTGACACACTCTCTTGACACCATCTCTATAAAGCACCGCCGTGATCTCCGACGCGCTGCTAGAGCCGGTCGAATGAGACAAAGACTTGCTTCCTCAGCCACATTGACCTTGGGCAAGAGTGGTGATGCCTCCAAACTAGACAACGAAGAGGAAGCACGGGGAAAATTTGATGATTTTAATGGTATAGCATCAAACGAGTCAGGTGGCGGCAACAACCCAAAAGTGGCTGATTCTGAGGACACTAACAAGGTGACTAAATGTCGTCGGTTCATCTGTAGCTATTAATTTATAGTATAATTTACTTCAATTTAAATAATTTGCAATTTTACTTATCAGTATTCCACACAAAATCTCTCTTATCATGGCTCATTCACCTCGACTCGAACATGCAAGCTTTCCCATAGGATTTTCTCGAGGGTCGGATCGCATCTATCCATGCACTCATTTAGAACCAACACAACTATGTCGTGCATCTAATTAATTAGGAAGGAACTCTGAAGGGAGATGCTTAAGGTTATGACGTCCGCTTCCACTTGGCCTGGACGTCCGCACCCTTACCCTCCGACCTTTATTCAACGCTTTTACTTTCCGCTCTCATTTGTACA